CAGCACTATTTACAATAGCCAAGAAATGGAAGCAACCTAAGTGTCCATCAGTAGATGAATGGATAAAGAAGATGTGGTACATATACACAATGGAATATTATTCAGCCATAAGAAGAAAACAAATCCTACCATTTGCAACAACATGGATGGAGCTAGAGGGTATTATGCTCAGTGAAATAAGCCAGGCGGAGAAAGACAAGTACCAAATGATTTCCCTCTTTTCTGAAGTATAAGAACAAAGCAAAACTGAAGGAACAAAACAACAGCAGACTCACAGACTCCAAGAAGGAACTAGCAGTTACCAAAGGGGAGGGATGGTGGAGGGTGGGTCAGGAGGGAGGGAGAAGGGGATTGAGGGGTATTATGATTAGTAGACGTGGTGTTGGGGGGTGGTCACAGGGAAGGCAGTGCAGCACAGAGAAGACAAGTAGTGACTGTGTGGCATCTTACTATGCTGATGGACAGTGACTTAGTGGGATATGGGGAGGACTTGACAATACGGGTGAATGTAGTAACCACATTGTTTTTCACGTGAAACCTTCATAAGAGTGTATATCAGTGATACCTTAACAAAAAAATTTTTTAAGTATTAAAAAAATAATAAATAAATAAATAAATAAATAGAAGCAGGGGCCTTAGCATCTGGGTTTGAATCCTGACTGTCATGGACTAAATGGGTCCATTTTTCCTATCTTCAAGCCTCAGTTTCCTTGCAGTGCTGTTTTGCATGTTAAACAGGTTTCTTTTCTCTGACGGTCACCAGGGGATCTGATGGCAGCTGTGCTCCAGTCCCTCCTCCGCAGAAGAGCGAGCGCCACTCCTGCCCGCACGAAGCCAGGCTCCTCCCACCCACGGGAGCTCTGCTCCCAGTGTCCCTGTTCATTTGTTTCAAACAACACAAACTGTCTTTAATTTTTATAACTCTATAGGCAGCACCTGCATCCACTAGGCATCCCAGTGATGCACTGCTCTACACCAGGGGGCGAACAATTGACCAGAGGGCCTCAGATCCCTTCTGAAAACATGAACCTTAAGGAAAGGAGCTGAAATCATGCTTCTTTAATCCAAACTCCACTCTGAGCACCCTCCAGTCTGATCTAAGGTACGAGGAGCAAACGTGCGGACCGCCTATGCCCGAGCCCCTCTCCCACCACGCCAGGGATGACACAGAAGCGGCCCCATGCTGAGCCTTGGTATTTCAGCGTCTTCGTTACAGCTCCACCTTCACCGTCTGCCAAGTCACAAGGTGATGTATACACCACAGGCCCCAAGAACATGCTGCCTGAATACCCAGAATCTGGGGACAGGAAGACTTACATAAGCTGCTTCCAAGCAGGTGTGCAGCTAGGTTTAGGTTCTTAACAGCAGCACGTACCGCAGCGGGGCTAACAGGACCAGAAGACCCATGCCACCCGCAGGACACCCCCGACGATGGAGCTGAGCCACCGACTCCTCACGAGGTCTAGAGCATTTCACATCAGGGCTCCGTCCCAGATGCTCACACCCAACGCCAAGTCCTGCTCCCCTGGAACGGAGCAGGGAGCCAGCCCACTCCAGACAGCGGCGCCAGCAGAGCCAGGTGGTGAGGGGCTGTGTGGTCCTTCCATTCTTCTGTGCGGCCAGACACTGGCCCCCAGAAGGGCCTCGAGGAGCACGAGGCCCAGGTCGTGAGGCCCATCAGCAGACCCTAGGGCCGCAGCCGGGAAGGGGCTGACCCAAATCTCCCCCTGGAGAATCAACTTCTAAACCACACCAAGACAGAGCATGGAGCCCTTCACGTGACTTTCAGTTTTCAAAGACAATCAAGCATTGCACACCCATGTTCACAGCAGCACTATTCACGCCGGTCAAAAGGTGGGATGCTGATGGATGGGTGAGGAAATGTGGTCTATTCACACAGTGGAATATCACACAGCCTGAAAAGGAAGGAAATTCTGGCATGCTACACCACGGATGAACCTTGATGGCACAGAGCCAAATAAATTAAGCCAGTCACAGAAGGACAGACATTGCAGGATCCCACTTACATGAGGTCACCAGAGTAGCCTGTTCATAGAGATAGGAAGTGGAATGGTGGTCCCAGGGTGTGGGGGGAGGGAGAGGGGGAGGGAGTGTTTACCGGGCACAGGGTTCCAGTTTGGGAAGATGGAAAGTTCTGGAGAAGGATGGTGGTGGCTGCACAGCCATGTGCATGTACCTAATGGCCCTACACACATAAGTGAACTACACACTTAAAGATGGTTAAATAGTTTTATAACTATTTTGCCACAATTAAAAAATCACCATCATCAAGCCACTGATATGGTGGCCCAGGAAGGGTGAGCCCTGCAATGGTGGCTGTCCCGGCAGAGCCGTAAGGAACTATTTGTCTTATGAAAGCATGTCTGGAGGAAAGAAGACAGAAGTGACCCAAGGGATGTGAGGTAGGGCTTTGTGCAAACAGGGGTGGCACTGCCCTCCCCTCCCTCCCCATTCTCCCCACACACACCCCCAGGTTGTCTGCTGAGGGTGCCTGGCCACACCCGCCAGCCCGGCCCCACACAGCCCATTCCTGGGGAGTCTGACGTAACAGGCTCATGTACAGGGAAACAAAGCAGCCCTTACCATTTTCTCCGTGAGCTTCCAGGAGGCCAGGTATCTGCTGCAGACCAGACACCAGAAGGTTCTCGGGAAGAAGGTGGAAGGCAGGCTCCAGGAGCGGGTGCGGCTTCAGGGTATACTGCAGGCTGCAGTTCTCCATGAGGGTCATGTGCTTGTTTTCTGAGGGAGAAAACACTTTATGTGACAGCTGACGCCAAAGACACTTTCAGTCAAACCAGCCAATAAACTGAGTATCTTACGGAGAAACACCCCAAACAGGAAATACATTTTCTAGGGAGACAGAAATTGCTGCTACTTCAGCCAAAAAGGATTGATAGACTCAATCCTTAATAACTCTCTCTGATAAAACCGCAATGAAAGAGATACTTGTTTTTAACCCAACATAACAAGATCTCCTGCTCACCTCTTGCCCTGGAGCAGTGAGGTCCAGGCAGCGCTTGGGCCCCAGAATCCGAGGGAGGCTGGGAGGCACTCTGCACCAGGCCCGCCTCCCTCCCAGCCCCGCACCTGCGTCCGTCCGTCAGCCCTGCAGAGCTGCAGGGCTGAGCGCCTGGGGCCCACGGCCTCGAGACAACCCTGTCCACAAGTAGAGGCCACAGTTCTGGGATGGGAGAGATACAGGCACTTCAGCATGCCCAACACGGGGGAGAAGGGGGTCCAAACCCCCAGGGAGGGCGGGGTATGTGCTGAGGAGGTGGGACGCAGGGCAGCGTCCTGGAGAAAGTGACCACGGCGAGGAGCTGAGACCCAGAGCACTCAGGACAGTGAGGCGGCCCAGCAGGGTCGGGCCAGGAAGGGGCACGCCCCAGCGTCACAGGGCCCTGCGGTGAGAGGGGCCGCAGACGTGCCCTCCACTCATGCCCACCAAATGGCCCGTCCGACTTCCTCCACTGACAGGGGCTTCACCACCTCCTGGGCACGCTACGTGATTTCATGAGAAAAGGGCCTTCATTAGAAAAAGCAGTCCATGAAAACTGTATTTTTGACAACCACTCCAAATACCATATCTGCTTACTTTGGCATTTATATGCCCTGACAGGTGTTCTCCTGTGTGGCAGGTGGGAGAGCACATTGGTGCCACTACTGGGGAGGACAAGTGGGGATAACACAAGCCATGAGGGCAGAGACCTGCGGACCCCATGACTCCTCTGCAGCACTCATCCCCCTGACGCATGTGCACACGTGCAAAAGGGCCGATGGCTCCACAGCCATGCTTCCAGTCCTGTCCTTACAGAAGACCCCAAGCATCACCTAGCAAGGGACCGATTCCATGAGCCACAGAACAGCAACTCCACAAAACACCTCTCAGCCCCAGAAGAATAAGCAAGCGTTCAAGGTGATACCATGAAACATCTCTAAGGTAAGTTGTTCTGGGGAAAAAGCAAGGTCTGTGATGAGTCCAAGGAGCACAAAAATAAGAAAGGGATGTGCACCCTTGCTTCTGGTCCAGGAAAGGCCCTGGAAGGGGCCCAGACGCTCAGAGAGCTGCTTATGGAGCAGGCAAGGGAGCTGGGCAGTGACAGGGGACCTTACAAGGGACCCTTTTATCCTTTAGAATACTTTTTAAATTCTGAATCATGCAAATGTATTATCCAGTCAAGAAAAACACCCAAAAGAACTAAGGGGAGAAACAGATTGCAACTCAATCATATCCAGGGACTTAAACAAACCACTTACATCAAGGGACAGATCAACCATTCGAAATGGAATTTGTCTATTTTGTTTACAATCTCAAAGAACCAGCTCTTGGTTTCATTGATTTTTTTCCTATTGTTTTATTCTCTATTTTATTTATTTATGCTCTGATTCTTATTACGTCCTCCCTTCTACTAACTTTGGGTTCAGTAGAAGGAGGAAAGAAATAAGAAAACAGAAGCACTGAACAACACACTAAATCAGATGGACTTAAGAGATATACATGGAACATTCCACCCAAAAGCAGCAGGATACACATTTTTCTCTAGTGCACATGGAATGTTCTTCAGAGAAGATCACATAAAAAGAGCCTCAATAAATTCAAAGATATTGAATTTATCAAGCATCTTTTCAGATCTCAAAGGTATGAAACTACAAATAAATTACATGAAGAAAACAAAAAAACCACAAACACATGGAGGCTAAACAACATGCCTCTAAATAATCAATGAGTCAATGAACAAATCAGAGAAGAAATCAAGCAATACTTGGAGACAAATGAAAGCAAAAATACAACAGTTCAAAATATGTGGCACACCACAAAAGTGGTTCTAAGAGGGAAGTACATGGCAATAACAGGCCTACCTAAGAAACAAGAACAATCCCATATGAACAGCCTAAACTCATAATTTAAGAAACTAGAAAAAGAAAGACAAATGAAACCCAAAGATGGTAGAAGGAGGGACATAAAAAAGATCAGAGCAGAAATAAAATAGAGAAGAATAAATAGAAAAAAGCAACACCACCAAGAGCTGATTGGGAAGATAAACAGACAAACCTCAAGCCAGACTTATCAAGAAAAAAAGAAAAAAGACACAAATAAACAAAAATCAGAAATGAAAAAGGAGTAATTACAACTGACACCACAGAAATAAAAAGAATTACTAGAGAAGTCTGTGAAAAATTATATGCCAATAAACTGGACAAGCTAGAAGAAATGGACAAATTCCTAAAAAAGTACAACCTTCCAAGACTGACCCAGGAAGAAATAGAAAATCTGAACAGAAGGATTACCAGTAATGAAATTGAACTGATCATCAAAAAACTCCCTAAAAATAAAATGCGAGGTCCAGATGGCCTCATAGCTGAATTCTACCAGAAGACCTAATACCTATCCTTCCTAAAGTAATCCAAAAAATAGAAGACAAAGGAATACTTTCAAACTCATTCTATGAGGTCAGCATCACTCTAATACCAAAACCAGGCAAAGACACTACAAAAAAAGAAAATTATAGACCAATACCCCTGATGAACACACATGTAAAAATCCTCAACAAATTAGCAAACTGAATTCAAAAATACATCACAAGGATCATCCATCATGACCAAGTGGGATTTACTCCAGAGATGCAAGTATAATACAATATTCATAAATTAAACAATGTGATACACCACAGTAACAAAGCAAAGGATAAAAACTATATGATCATCTCAATAGATGCTAAAAAAGCATTTGATAAAATTCAACATCCATTCATGATAAAAACTGTCAACAAAATGGGTATTGAGGGGAATGTGTGCCTCAACATAATAAAGGCCATATACAACAACCACATACCTAACATCATACTCAATGGTGAAAAGCTAAAAGCTTTTCATCTAAGATCAGGAAAAAGACAAGGATTCCCACTCTCACCACTTCTATTCAACATAGTACTGGAGATTCTAGCCACAGCAATCAGACAAAAGACAAAAGACATACCAACTGGTAAAGAAGAAGTTAAACTCTCACTATTTGCAGATGACATGATACTGTTAACAGAAAACCCAAAGACTCCACCAAAAAACTATGAGAACTAACAACTAGATTCAGCAAAGTTGCAAGATACAAAATCAATACACAGAAATCTGCTGCATTCCTATATACTAACAAGGAACTAGCAGAAAGAGAAATCAGGAAAACAATTCCATTCACAATTGCATCAAAAAAAATAAAATACCTAGGAATAAACCTAACCAAGGAGATGAAAGACCTATACCCTGAAAACTACAAGACACTCATGAGAGAAATTAAAGAGGACACCAATAAATGGAAATACATCCCATGCTCATGGATAGAAGAATTAATATTGTCGAAATGGCCATCCTGCCTAAAGCAATCTACAGATTCAATGTAATCCCTATCAAAATACCAACAGCATTCTTCAACAAACTATAACAAATAGTTCTAAAGTTCATATGAACCACAAAGGAACCCAAATAGCCAAAGCAATCCTGAAAAGGAAGAATAAAGCAGGGGGGATCTCGCTTCCCAACTTCAAGCTCTACTACAAAGCCACAGTAATCAAGACAATTTGGTACTGGCACAAGAACAGATCCATAGATCAATGGAACAGAATAGAGGGCCCAGATATAAATCCACACATATATGGACAATTAATATATGATAAAAGAGGCATGGACATACAATGGGGAAATGACAGCCTCTTCAACAGCTGGTGTTGGCAAAACTGGACAGCTACATGTAAGAGAATGAAACTGGATTACTGTCTAACTCCATACACAAAAGTAAACTCAAAATGGATCAAAGACCTGAATGTAAGTCATGAAAC